GCAGGGTGACTCTGTGCTTTGAAAAGAGTTGTAATGTCCCATCTCGGAGGTGGTTGCATTGGCTTCTGCTTTGCCTAGCAATTAGGGTAAGCTTCTCTTCTTATACAAAGTAATCCTCCCAGTTCATTTACTCAGAGGCGAAAGCCTTAGCGATATGGAGCCTCCACTTGGACGCATCCAGGCATCAAGATAAGCATGCATTGTGCTTCCTTATCCAGCCTCACTGCTCCCGGGATGAAATCTAGCCCACTAAACTCAAAGACAAAATGTCCCAGGACTTCAAGTGGTCCAGGAACCCACCATTTTCAATACAGTGTGCATTGATATAGCAGCGAACACAAACAGTGCCTATATTTTTGCATTTAGAGGGGGAATATTCAGGGTCTCGCCTTTTCCCCAGATGGATAAGAAGTCTGTTTGCCTCCCCTCCATCTTTGTGCTGACCCTTTGTGCTGTTACCAGAGGTGAGTCACGGACTGAAATCCCCATGGCTAGGCTGAGGGGAGGAGAAAGGGTGGGGTGACACACAGTCTGGAAAATCTTAGCCCAAATGATTTATTCTGAACATGCCTGGGAAGTAAGAACAAGCCAGGGAATTATTTTGGATGTAAAAACCAACCCCATAAAACCGTTTTCATTTCATCTGCTAATTTTGTTTTGAAAATCCCATGGAGGAGCCATTGGTAAAAATTTCCCAGATGACCTTTGCAGGCAAAATAAATGAAGAAGCAATATGAGAAGAGTTGGTATCACGGAGGGACTCTCAGCATATTTATTAAGAGCCTTTGCTGGTATGAAATGCCTATCCATTACGGCATCCCATCACAACACCATCCAGCTATCTCGACTCAGGCCTGCGGGGACCACTGCTAGTCAGAAGCGAGGGGCCTGGGCAGAGCTGTGTGGGACCTCAGGCTGAAACGGGAGCACGACTGCAGGTCAGGAGGAGAGAGGTGCTTGGCTGGGGATGCTGGCAGGGTACCTTTCTGCACGATGCCTGGCCTCAGCCTTGTTTCTACCCATACTGAATCCACCCATAAAAAGTAGTAATATCATGTGCACTATAGAGACATCCTGCCATTCGGAAACTTTGCAAGACCTGCCCCATCTCCCAAGGCAGGCATCAGTGTGCAGAGCCAGCCTTGTCACATCCCAACTGACAGACACCCCAACTGATGTGATCAGGACACTGGAATTGTGGTCTGTTTGCTGCGGCTCTAAGAAACCATCCCTAGGCTCACACGTGCTTTGTTTAATGCACTGCCCTGGCATTTGCACTGTTCTTCAAGCTGAGCAAGCCCATCTGCCAGCTCCCTCCCTTGATACTACATCCCTTCCAATCTACCCCTGCTCTACTTGCTCATCCCCTCCAAGTGGGCCTGTCTGCACCCTTATGGCCAACAGCATAAAGCATCCGCTCTCTTGGACTCCAGCAAATGTGTCACCCTGCCGGAAGCCAAGCGTGGAGGCTCTCCAGATGTGGGTGCAGGTGGAGACCAGATGGCCTCGTTGCTGTTTGCCTTTCCGTGCTCAGCATTGCAAGCGCGGTGAAGCACCATCAACACATAAGCATCACTTGGGGAACAGCCTGCATGGGAAACATAGGCCAACAGCTCTTGTAGTATTTTCCAGGAGGGCAAATGGGTGCCAAAAGCAGCAAAGAATTTACATTGGTGAAGCCAGGAAGGTGGGTGGTCCAGGTCCCACCCCCCCTCCTCTTGCATCTGTTCATATTTAGATGTCATTCCTAGCTGTTCGTATTCAGCTAGGCAGTGGCACCCACCCTTGCTTTGTCCTTGGCTGCAGGCGTCTGCATAATGAATGTACTTGAGGGTGCAGCCAATACTATTGCTGAAACCTCGTATCCACAATCCTTTGGGCCTTGTCTTTATTTTTAGTGGCTGGCTACTCAGTATTTCTGGTGTGTTTCTGTCCTAATAGGCCCTGACCCACTGAGATGTTACATTAGGATGTGAAGTCTCGTGGTACTGTCAGAAAGTGTCAGGCAGGCACGCCACCCAAGTGTCCAGGCCATCGTTCCCTCTCTTGGTAATGGAGGTGGATTAGGAGGCACATGGCTATAGAGAGCAGCTGTCCCACACTGCTGCCTTTGCCTACAAATTACTGCACTGTTTGGATCGTATCTGGTAGTCTGTGAAGCCCTTGGAGATATTGGTGTGACTGTAATACTGTTTTACGTATCACTCTGAGCTCTGTTTCAGTGGACTATTAGTGAAAAATGTTTCCCTCAAGCAAAACAAGCATAGTAAATGCCTTGTTCTGACCAGCTTTTGCTATTAGACTAAGGGATTTAGGAGCACAAATCCAACTGAAAGACAATACAATTTATGTTCCTAAAGCTCTCAGGCACTTTTGAAAAACCTCCTTCCTTAGCTCTAACTGGCTCTTTTTGGCGCTCTTGCCAGCTGTTTGCTGCTCTTCTATTTCAGACTTCAAACATCTGGATTCCACTCTCAGGTCTGCCACTGGTAGCCATAGGCTGGACATAGGCAAGTCACTTCCCTTTCCCTCAGTTTTCTCATCTGTAAAGTGGGGATAAGAGGAATGACCTCCTTTGCCAGGTGCTTAGTGATGACAAGAATTAGGGATGGTGCATTTAGAGCCAGTAATTATCCTAAGGGTCTGCATAGAGCACTAGGAGATCTGAAAGGGTTACTCAGAGCTGCTAGGTCCTTAGATCTAACCCTTTCACTAGATTTAATATCAGTGCCTCTCATGGTAATATCTAGGCTTTGTGAAGATTGCATCCATAAATCTCCTATGCAGTAAATGATTGGAAGGCTTTTTATTGACCTCAAGGTGCAAGGTCTGAGTCCTCAGGCCAGGATATGCTCTGCACAGGGTGGAGTATACAGAGGACCTGCTCTGAAACCCAGTGCTTCTCTTGTCCTCAACGCAAACAGCTACCTTGTACAAAGCCAGCTGTGCTGGGCACAATGTCTGCTGCAGTGGGTGGCCTGGGGTGGGATGACGGCTTCTTCCTCCCAGAGACAGATCCCTGGCTGGGAAGGCTGGAGCTCTGCAGTTTGCATCTCATCAGCTGCCATCTCACATAATGACCTACATAAAAAGATGCAGTATGCACTTAGACAAGGGAGGGAGGGACAGCCATTGCAGGGGGCATGGTATGATGTCTCAAAGCTGGGGCCTTCCTCAGCCAGGATTGCTACTAGAGGCAGTGGGAGTCAGGACTGCCCCTGGGTGCAGAAAAGAATTGAAGTGGGAAAAGGTGCTTTTACTACAGGGGGGTTAAAAACATCATTCTTCTGCGCCGCAGCCCTGCCAGAGACTCGTGGCAGCCTCACAGACATTGGCTGAGAGCCTTCCTTTGAACTTACTCTTGGGGCTGAATCAGCCTTCAAGGAAAAACTGCAGCCAACATTAAGCAGAATAGGAGGATTTTGAAAGAGAGGACTCACTGCAGGGAAAATCCTGGACAACCCAGTCTGAAAAGGTTCAAGCATGGGCCAAACGCTTGGCATGAGTCTGGCAGGTCTCAGTCCCGTTCCCATTGAACAGATGTCCTCCACATCCATAACCGGCTTTGGCCATAAGAAGTGCAAGGGGTGAATGGGACATAGGAACTATATGCACCCCTTTGCTGGTACTGTGGGTCTCCCCAAGTCAGGGTTCAAGGTCCAGGGGTGAAGAGGCAGATTGAGAAGAAATGTCTCTTTTTGTAAACTTCTAAACCCCAGAGCAGCAAGATGTGCCAGCGTTGGGTCAACACTCAGCCCTGAGTTGTACCTCCGTTCCCTGAGATGCTGTGGAACGTGGCTATGGTATCTCCAGTGTGCGGCGAGCCGGTGCTTACAGGGGAAGACTGGGGTGTTGTGCTCCTTGCTGTGATCTGTCTTCAGAGCCCAGTGTCCCTACTCCCAGGGATCATTCCTAAAATCTGGAGACTGGGCGCAGTTTGAGGTGCTGGTGCCCTCTGCTGGCAATATGAAAAAGCTGGGAGCACCTTTTGCAGACACGGCTCTTTGGATGAATCTGATCTCTTTTATTAGACCAACTTAAATAGTTGGACATTTTTTTCTTAGCAAGCTTTCAAATTTAAGATTTTTTTTTCCCAACTGTTCAAGTTGGTCTAATAAAAGAGATCAGATTCACCCAAAGAACCTTGTCTGCCTGTGTCCTTAGATCAGCACGGCTACAACCTACACCCCTGGAGGCACCTTTTGAAACTCAAGCTCCTAAGGAAAGCACGGGTACAAGTGGCCCCTTTCTGCAAAAGCTGGGGAGCCCTGGGTGTGTGCATGTTTAAGACACGCTGTCTTGGGGACATGGCATGACCTTCACTGGATCCTGGGAGGGAGAATGCCTTAAGGCTTCTGCTGAGGGAGCCTTGAATGCTATTAGTCCAAAATTGACTGTGGTCACATCAGGCAGCAGGCCAGTGTCCCACCACTCAGCATCCTAGAGAGCACTTTCTGACTCTCCCAGTCAGGATTGGAGTCAATGCCTCTGGGGAGCCAACCTGTTTCCCTCCGCATAGCCAGACGCAGCAGCTCGGGGTCTGTTGTCCGTCTGTGCAATGCCACCTTGCTTCTCCAAAGATTACTCAGGGCACCCAATACATTTGCATAAATGGGGGAGCCAACAAGCCAGCTTTGCCGAGGACATGCTCTTGCTTTCCACCCTTGCACTGACGGCTGGCACCCAGAAGCTGTTACCTCTGCATTGTTCTTTATGTGGGAGGCTGTGCAGATGCCCTGCATGGCACAGTGTCCTTGAGTCAGCAGAAGTGGGCTGAGGATCAAACCCATGTCTCCCATGTAAAAGTGAGGAGTCCTCCTGAGCCCAAGAGCTGAGCTGGGCCCTTAGGCAGAATTAAGCCTCAGCCTCCCCTATAGCACTGGCAGAGTGGAAAACCATCACGCCAGGGCAGTTGATTCTCTCAGAACTGTGCAGTCACTTCAGGATGGGGAAAGTTCCCTGTTTTTATTCTTTATGACCTTTTCTCTCTTCTCTCTCAGATCCTTTTTGACCAGGCTCAGAGGTCAGTCCGGCAACAACTGCACAACTTTGTGAAAGAGTGAGTACCCATCTTTCCAGCCCACCTGGGGCTTCTCGATGAGCTACTGACCCTGCATATCTGTGATGGACACAGATCTGCAGCACGCTGGCTGCATACGCAGTCAAGGCCCTGCCTGGGGACAAAGGTGTCTCCAATGGGAAGAAACCATGAATCTGACTTGTGAGGGTGGGGTGACACCAGTAATTGTGCTCTCATCTCACCTTGACCTTGCATGGGATCTGCTAGGTCTAGGTGCTATGCACATCCTTTTTCCCTAATTTCATATTTAATGCCAGACATGAAGCAAAGCTCCTCTGTGAACATGCCCCAAGTCTTCAGGGAAGTTCAGGTCCATGTCCACACCGACCCCTGTTACTAAACCCACTGCTGATAGACCCCAGAAATTCAGAGCTGTGCAGCCTGGATGCAACACCATGCCTCTGTAAAGATGGGCTTTCTGCTGTCCTGGATGAGATTCAGTGGCAGTTTAGTTAATGAACCAGATCAGTGGTTTTCGACGTTCTTTCATTTGCAGACCCCTAAAACATGTTGAACGGGGTTGTGGACCCCTTTGAATGGTAAATGTGGGTTAGTCGCATACTTTTGATTGATCACAGTCATCTTTCTCAGACCCCTTAGACACAGTCTGCAGACGCCCAGGGGTCCGCGGACCACAGGTTGAAAACTACTGATCTAGATTAATACATCTTCCAAAATCCATGCGGGGACAGCCCTCCACAAATGACTTCACCTCCAAATCCAGCTGTGTCACTAAGCCCCCCAAAATCACACTGGCTCCCTAGCCACGCCTGGGACCTTTGGTGATTCTGCATTACTAAACAGCCTGTGAACTGGCCCATACATTGGCAGGCAGAGCCATGGCTCTTTCTATCCGTGGAGAAATTGGCTTCCACCGGTATCGGGGATTAGCCACTGCAGTGTGGTCTGAAATCTCATGTGCATGTTGGTACCCTCAAATCCAGGCCTGACCTGAAGCCCTAAGAGGGTGGTCCTTGGCACTGGATATCCCGAGCTCTTATAAAATGCAGTATAACCCAAAACCAGGCAACCGCTTGGTCTTGCTCCTCTGCTTAGTAATTTGCTCCTCCGTTGGGAGGGGAACAGGCTTCCCGCGGCCTTTCCAGGCTTTTCTTGCTCCCTCTACATTAAAGTGTCTCCTCTGAGAGCTTTTGCTCCCCAAGGGCAGGTACCAAGTGCAGCGTGAGATCCCAAATCAGCTGAATATAGGTCAGAGAGGCAATGGAGGCCTTCAGCTAAGAGGGAGCTGGTTTCCATGGGAACGGGTAATTAAGTGCGAATCCTTCAGCAGCGGTGGGTAGTTTGGGGTAGGGAAGGGAGGGGAAACCCAGCAATGACCCCTCTCTGAGCTCTCCCCTTCCCCCTCTCTAATCATTTATCTGATGAGCTCAGATTTAATCTGCTTAAGCCCCTGGCAGCCGGAAAAGGGAATTTCACCTTCATTTGGGGGCCGTTCCCATTTCAATGTGTCTGCATTATTCCCTCGCACGTGCCCATCAGTCCCTGCACTCATGGGGCCTGGACCTTTGATCTGCGGATTGCTGGGGTTGTGTATCTGAAATGGGTCTTCCACTGGGATCATTTAAAATCAGTCCCCAGAGCTGCGACTGAAATTTCTTGGCTGAGAGAGGGAACAAAGCAATGTTAGCAGCTTGGTCGTACCCCTCCCATCGGGTGCTGTTCATCCTCTAACCAGCCCTCCATACCACAAAGCCATGGAGGCTAAAGGCGCCTCTGCTTACTCAACTCAGGCCCAACATGGACCCTGCCAAGGACAGGGTACTGCCCCATGAATGTCTCCATCACCACGGGAAGGAGCTTTTCCCAGGGATGAGAGGAGAGTTCAGTCCCCCTGGACCATTCACTCTATGGTTGCTCTAGCTCTGGTGAGGGGGCAGGTTAGGGATAATCATAGATTCATACATGTTAGGGTCTGAAGGGACCTCAGTAGGTCATCAAGTCTGACCCCTGCCCTGGGCAGGAAAGAGCGCTGGGGTCAGATGACTCCAGCTAGGCGCTTGTCCAGTCTCCTCTAGAAGACCCCCAGGGTAGGGGAGAGTATCTCCTCCCTTGAAGCCTGTTCCAGATCCTGGCAACCCTCACCATAAAGAAGTTCTTTCTAATGTCCAACCTAAATCTGTTCTCTGTCAATCTGTGGCCATTGCTCCTAGTTACTCCAAGGGGTGCCCTAGTAAATAGAGCATCTCCTATTCCTTGCTGCCCTCCCCTGATGAATTTATAACCAGCCACAAGATCACCTCTCAGCCTTCTCTTGCGAAGGATGAAGAGATCCAGGTCCCTCAGTCTCTCCTCATAGGACCTTGCCTGCAGGCCCCTAACCATACGAGTGTCCTCCTTTGGACCCTCTCAAGATTGTCCGCATCCCTCTTGAAGTGTGGCACCCAGAACTGGATGCAGTACTCCAACCATGGCCTGGCCAGTGCTGCACAGAGAGGAAGCATCACCTCCCTGGTCCTGTTCATCATGCATCTGCTAATGCATGATAAAGTGCGGCTATCCTTGTTGATCACTTCGTCGCATTGACGACTCATGTTCATCTTGGAGTCAACCATGACACCAAGATCCCTTTCCACTGCTGAGAAGGTCATCCCCTAGCCTGTAAGTGTGTTGGTGGTCCTTTTGGTCCCAGTGCAGCACTTTGCACTTGTCTTTGTTGAACTGCATTTCATTCTGCCCATTTTTCTAACCTGTCCAGATCCACCTGGATCCGTTCCGTACCCTCTGGTGTGGTAAATTTGCCTCATAATTTGGTATCATCTGCAAACTTGGATGGGGTGCTCTCCACGCCCTCATCCAAGTCACTGATGAAGACATTGAATAGCACCAGTCCAAGAACTGAGCTGACAATCCTGTCCATGTTTTTTGTGATAGGGAGTGGTGACCTGCCAGGCTCCTTTTGCACCAGCCATTGGCCTGCCATTAGAGAGCAACAACTCATCCCGGTCATCACTCAGCCTGGCTAGACTGGAAAGCCACCTGTAACAGGACAGGCTTTCATTCCCCCTCTCCATGCTCTCCAACACACGGTCCTTTCTAAGCTGTTTGCCAGAAATGCAAGGGAGCAGTAGGAGATGGAAACACCCTCTGCTTCCCCTCACCACTCGTGACCTCACCTTCAGGCTCTGCGGTCCAGAGATCCACCCCTCCCATCATCCCCGATAGCCTCCCACAGGAACCGGGGTGGGTGCAGGCATGTGGGTGGGATGACTGAAGCTTGGATGGAAGCAGGGGAAGGAGCATGCTGCTAAGCAGTCATGGGTTGAAAGACACCTGAGTTGGCTAGAAATATTGTTGTGAGATGGGTTTGGCAGGAGAATCAGGAATTTCTTGGAGGTGAATAATGGGGAGCCTCCTAGACTGATGCAAGGTCTCCCATCCCAAAGATCAGCCCACCATTCTCCTCCAGGGACTCCTGTCCTGATTTAATGTGTACAGGCATCCATTAGCTTACCTCTGGCTGCAAACTAGGAACCCCCCCTGATTTCCTGCCCCCAGAAGTACCGGAAAAGCTTCCCCTCCTGCAGTCCTGGGCCGACTGCCCAGATACCGACTCCGGCTGGCTCTCTTGAACCAAATGAGTCACTCTGCCACCTTCCACCAGGCCAGCTGAAACCCTGTGTTTGGCTGCCGCATGTTAATTGAACTGTGGATGAGTACCCAACAAGCCCTGTGCAGCTGTGTGGAGAGACACCATCTGCTTTCTCCTTGTTTTCTTCTTTGCTACAATTCATAGTGAGGGGGCAGGGGATGCGGCTCAAAGCCAGTCAGTTAATTTTTAGCATTACTATTCAGGAGGGAGTTGGATGACAGCCAGATTAATAGCTAAGGAGAAGGCCGGGCCCCAGCTGCTGGATGGGTGAGATCCCCATACCACTTGGCCACGCCAAGCCCAGGAGCAAGAGCCTGGCAGTTGTGGTAATGAGAATCCATCTTCTGATTGGGGGCATGCATTTAAAATCAAGGAGGGTTTGCTTTCAGAAGGAGACACTTGTGGCACTTGAAATTCAACAGATGTATATGCACATGTTTATAGGACAGAGGAAGAGAGCGATCAAGGGGAATAACAGGTTGTGTGTGGGCACACGTGTGTTTTGAGCAGTTCCAGTGTGCAGAGCACCGATGAGCTTATTTGAACCTAGCTGGACAGCAGTTGCTCACCAATGTCATGCAGCTTGACTTCCTGGTGCCACTCAACCCTACAGCATTTCAGGAGCTCCCTTGCTTTGGTACCACTCCACTGTACTTAGCTACGTTAGAGGGTGCCCCATCCTTTCATTCCCCACTTTTAATCTTGATGGGGAGTGCAGAAACTCCCAGGCTCGGCCACTGGAACAAAGCATAATGTATATCTCCGTATAGACAGCCTACATAAATATATGCACACACCATGTATAAATGCACCACGGTCATTTGCGTGCTAGACAGGAGCATTTTCTCCCCTTGTCTCGTGCATGAAACAATCCACTTTCAGCACAGTGCATCAGTGATTTACTCATGTGACTTTCCCTGGTATTAATGAGAGAGATGCAGGGGCTAGTGAAAAGAAGCAAAAGGCAGCTAAGCCCAGTGAAAGGGTAAAAATACAGGTGCCAAGGGTTGCAACCAGTGTTATGAAATTCCTGGCTGCAGGCAGGTTAACCCTTAAGAGATCTAATCCTCTCCAGCTCCTTAAAATCACTGCTAAACATGCACTTGACCCCTCACTAAGCCTGCTGTTTTCTGTATTCATGTAACACAACTATACCTACACACAGGCACTGACAATAGGGCTGACTTCTGCTCTTTGGACTCGATTTTGCATTGCTTAATATCATTATTTACATCAGCGCAGGGTAAAATCCAACCTCCTTAAATGCTAGCATCCATTTTGCATCTTGTTTGCACGGATGTAAATTCTGCCACAAGGTACAGGGCAATAGTGAACCGAGTGATTTGGGTCAGTGATGCAAGATAGCATCAATCAGCATGTCACCTCTGATGTCCATGGAACTTGAGTTTGGCGTTTAAATTGTCTTAATTTACTTTGTGGTCATGAAGCTCCAAGTCAATCTCCCATCCAGCTTAGGAAGGGAACCCTAAATCGATTTCTTTGTAGTCATTCTGGGCGTGTACACATGTACTAACTTTCTGACAATTAAGCTAGCTTAACTTTTTAAAGTCAACTTAACTGTCAGAGCGTACACATGCATGTGGAGCAGAGCTGACTTAAATGCAACACAAGATAATACACCTCTGAGATGTATTATCTTGAGTCACATTAGTGAAGGTGACTTAGCTCATTCATTGTTGCCTGGATACTAAGGGTTAGTTTGTCCTCTGTTATTTGTGTGTCTTTCTTAAACCTATGGGGAAGATATATATTTTAAAAAATCAGGAAAAGCTGATACAATGGCAAATGCTGGCAGGGATGCTGTAGGGTCCTAAAGCTTTGTGATCATTTATGACCTTTTTTTTCAACTGAGTAGATTTCAATTTGAAGATATCTAGAGGACCCTCTGGCATATGTCTGTATAGTCCTTAGCACAGAGGGCTCTGATCTTGACTGTGGTCTGTAAGCACTAATATTAATTCATATAGTTCTCAGGGTAGATTGCCTCTCTCTCAACATGGCTATTGAGAACATTGTAGGGGGCAAAAGAATCTGAAGAATCAAACTTTTACTTTTTAATACTCAGAACAGACCCACCCACTCTCCAGCACATCAGAGGACATACAATAATGGCCAGTACGTGTGTGCTAGGCATTGATTCATAATGATCACACACAACTGGCTTCATGCTGTTTTCCTGGGCTCAAATACAGGACCATCTTTGAAATGGCCTTTGTTTCCTATGGAGCAGGTTGTAAAACATCCTGCTTCTTGTCCTGAGGGCTGTCAGAGAACATCATTAAGGTCGGATGCTGCTTGGATAGCTTCTGTGGTGTTGTCTTTGGTGATGTTCCTCAGTGTTTCGAGAGCTGCAATTTGCACTTGATCCCATCTCTACTCTCTACACCCAGTTTAAGGTGCAGTGCCATTGGTTGGCAGCCACATCAAAGAGTTATGCTTGGGGCAGAATCTCCTTTTGCTTGCTTTGGGTATAATACAGAATAATGGTGTTCTGGGCACACAGAGTATGGTGCAAATGAAGTCAGGATGTGGTTCTCCCAGAAATATCTGACCTGGTTTTGTCCTAATGCTGCTTCCATAATTGCCCTGCATGGTTGTAATGCAATGCTCGTTCCCATCGTTCTCTTCCTCCCTGTGTTTCAGTGACGTTCGGAAGTTCAAGGAAACGAAGAAGCAGTTTGACAAGGTGCGAGAGGACATGGAAATCTCTCTGGTGAAGAATGCGCAGGCTCCACGGCACAAGCCCCATGAAGTGGAGGAAGCAACGGGCACCCTGACCATCACCAGGAAGTGCTTTCGACACCTGGCCTTAGACTATGTGTTACAGGTGAGCTTGAGCTGCCTGCCCTTACGCTCCTCCTGACTGCAGGACCAGAGGATAAATGCCGGGCATTCAGAAGCTGAGAGTAGGGAAATGTCTTTGGGGGGGATGCAAGAGCGGATAGTCCAATATCTGGGTCTGAAATAGCACCTGATCTTGAAGTTGTCCAGCATTAAACCTTGGGCCTCAGGTGGCAGTGAGACCAGTTAAACAGACCTGGGACCCAGTCTCATGGTTGTTATACCCCACTTTTGGACCCTAGTGTCACTGGACTACTTCAAACTCCAAGCAGAAAGTCACAATTTGCACTAGATCCCATCTCTGCTCCCTGCATCCTTTAATTGTATACCCTGGTCTGACCACATCATATACTTTATCCTGGCTGGAAACTGGGGTAAGCTTTGCTGGGGCAGACTTCCTTGTGAGGCAGCTGTAGCGGGCCACTGATTGATTGGAAATGTTGCAAATTTCCCATACAGAGAGGACACGAGAGCCGGCAGGTTCCTCTCAGGGTCTCTGCCACAGGAGGTATCTCCGGGAGGCGGCTTGCAAAACAGGGCTGTGTAATTCTCCAAAGCAAGAACAAGAGGGACAACTCTTTTGAGTGCTTTCCACCTCCACATTTTGATGGCATGTTATAGTGCAGCCCTGTTTGTGTTGTTTCCTTAAGGAAAACCTCTGTGTAAATGTATATAGATATTCTTGCAGATAGATATACGTATGTGTGCAAGTACATGTGTGTTTAAATGTGCATATGCATGAAGCACACATGAGTATGCTCATGCCATTGCTAAACACGACAGTCTAGCTAAAACAGTAAATGTCACCATTATTTCCTATAAAGAAAAATTAAACCATATCCTTTGAATTAAGCTCTTTTTAGCATTAAAACCTCCCCCGGGAGTGCATAGTTATTGTCCCAACAATTAGCCCCTCTGGTAGCCAAGGTTTTTTTGCATCATTTGCAGATTTTAACACCCAACTTTGGGACCCTTCTTCCAGGCAAGGAAGTGCACACATTCAGTGTGAATATTGATGTATGTGCCACTCCACTAGCTCTTACTCTCTGCAGTACCAAATTGAGACCATCTGCCAGCACCTTCTGCCTGATCATGAGATAGTCTATGTATGATGTCCCATCCTCTTATGCAGTGAATCAGCGGCACATAGAAAAAGGACTCTATCCCTTTAACTGTAAATTATGCATGCTTTGCTAACCTTGGGGGATTGTAGTTCTTTCAGCTTCTAGGATTTAGAGATAAATGCAGCTGTGTTCACTGGCAAGGTCACAAGGAAGAATTTCCTGTGTCATATTCCTCTTTCTAATGCTGATGAAGGGGGAGAGCTCCACTACTGTGGATCAGTGAGATTTCTGGGTCAGTTCCACAGGGATGTAGCAATTTAAACCCAAAATAGGCACAGGCAAATGAAGTGGCACAGGGTTCCCTTTGCATCTGTTCAGGATCACAGGAATGAAATGGAAAAGGTTTATCATTTTATTGATTGGTATTTAGATGCTAGAAGGTGGCTTGTATCCAGGCACTCTACGCATCCTGGCCATAACTCAGATATACCACCATTGGTGTAGCAAGGGAAGATGACTCCCAGGAAACCCACCTTAACCTCATTTTCCAATACACAGGGAAAAAGAGAAGAGCCTTGCTCAGGTGGCACAAAGGAGCTAGGACATCATGCAGAATCCAGCCCATTGCCTGTTTGCTAATGTATCTCATACCTTTACTACAGATAAACCAGATCCAGAAGGAGCAGACAGGTCCACACTACACTGAATCTGGCCGTAGGAGGGAACAGTCCCTCTGCTCCAAACCCAGCAAAAGTATTACCAGTACCCTCTGCCTGGCACTAGTCTTAGTTACTCCAGTACAGTGCTGTCTATGCTAACTGGTGCCATATTTATAAATGAGTTATTAACACTCTGGGACCTATTTTGCAGCTGTCATGGTAACATATTGTTCCTGACACTGACAGCTGAAACCCCATAGAAACCTTCTGCTACATTTGACAGTCTCTTTAGTGCTAATTACAGCACTTGTAAGACTTCCCAGACTTGCCCATGGGATCCAAGGGGAAGGCATTATATAACTGCATGCAATTTATTTTTTATTTTTAAAATGATGCTATCCCAAGTCGCTTGGCAGCCTCTTACACTCTGCTCCCTGATTTATTTTTATTTTCAATTGCAGAGGCATTCTTCATCTCCTGAGCCTTGATCCAGGACTAGCAGTCGGAAGAGTTTACTGCTTCTCGTAGCATTTAAACTCATCCGCTGACCAACGAGCTTTGCAGCAGTCCTGCGCACGTGATTTTGATAACTGGTTTCTTGTGAACCACTAGTGCTCCCTAGAGAGATCATTGCATAGTGCAGCTGAATGCTAGCTTGGCTTTATATCTTGTCCTGTATACTTTTCATCCTCTACGATCCCAGTCCTTGTGCCTTTTATGGGGAGAGGCCATTCATCTTTCTAAAATAAGGAGTAATTTCATGATTAGGTTCCATGTGGAGTCAGTTGAAGACCTACTAAGCATCTTTCATTTGTAATGTAAGGCAGGTCTACAAAGCTAAGAAGGGCATCATGGCTGTAACCTGCTGCATGTTTCCCCATTGCTTGTAATGGGGATTAAAGCTGGGATTTTCCTGATCAAGGTTTCATTCTCCAGGCTGAGAGATGTTACAGCCTGCTCTTGAATCCCTTTGCTGGGCACCTGTCAATGGAGCACAAGGATGGCAAAGCTCTAGACCCAGCGCAGTGTATTTTGCAGGCAGACTTTGCAGCTGTACAGCACATCTCAGGAGCGGTACTCTCATGTTATCACACGGTGGTGCTGTAGTGCTTCTCCGGCTGTGAAAACACAGGGAAGGCAGAACCAAAAAGGACCTAAGGACTGCTTTTCCATTCTGAGACCTAACTACATTGGGGACCATGATGGGGGAGCCTGAATGGCAGCAGCCTCTGCTCTGAGGAGTCTCCAGGGCTCTCAGGCTGACACTGATGTTACTGAAACAGTTTCCTTTGTAAACCACAATATGGTATTAATAAACTTTAGGAGCAGGGTCCCTGGGCAGGCACTGTGCAAGCCGATTCCTTGGCTGGCTTAGCAATGGCTAATGGGGAGTGACGTGCTATCAAACTGGAGCCCAAACATTAGCCATCCCATGACTTCCCATCTACTTGACATTGAGCAATACTCAGCAGGTTTGACCACCTGTGCTTACACACTGGGCAGCATCTTCAAATGACCCTAAATCACTTAGAAGACAGAGTCTGAGCAGTTTAGCTAAGTCCTTTAAATGATCATCATCATCATCATCATTTTGAACATGGGTTTTATTTGGATTGCATTGCAAGGGGTACTGCTGACAGTACCTAGCTCCTGGGCTGATTCGGATTGCTAACATCCTTGTCTCTATTCTTTTACAGATCAATGTGCTACAGGCTAAGAAGAAATTTGAAATACTGGATGCGGTAAGAGCCCTATTAAGTTGACCATACTGACGCGGCTGACTTCACGATATGCAGGCCTCCATGTTCCATCCTGTGTAGGCAAACACACATCTGCGGCACCCCTAGCATGGAGATAATGTAGTTTCTTTGACACTGGCAGGGCAGCTGATGTGGGCTGCAGGGTGTTTTTACAATAGCAGATCATGAAAAGACAAAAGCCACTCAGTGTACTGGAAGGATGAGGGCTGTCAGGGATGAGTGACACCGATGCTATTATCTCTGTGGGCTCACAGTGGGGCATGCCTGTAAGCTTAGCAAGGTCTGTGATATGAAGACAGGACAAAAAGGGAGTGCAGGAAGGCAGAAAGGGATGAGATGGGGTCTAGAGAGAGAGGTTATATAGCTAAGCCTTGGAAAGAGATGGTTAAGGGCAAAATTGACATGGTATATTCTCCATAAGTGCTTATATAGCTATCATTATCATGGTGCTGTAGCACCCTGCAGACAGTTCCCTTCCCTGCACAGTATTCCTATTAGGGAGGGTGTATTATTATCTCTATTTTACACAAGTGTGGAGAGAGCACATGACTTACAGGGAGTCTGGGGCAGTACCAGGGGTAGCAGCCGGGTTCTGGTCTGGCTTATGAATCACAAAAACATACTATTTCTCGAGAAAGTATCTCCTTTGTGCATAGCCTGGAAGGGACCCTGCTGAAAATGGGATTTGTCTGGGGTGTAACACATGGAAGTCCTCAGCGTGACTATTGGGATTCATTTGGACCTGGAGGAGGGAGGGAGGAACTCGGTCTTCCAAAGATAGCTCCTTCCAAGAGAGCCGTCTCCACGCAGGCTGATGCTCTAGGCCAAAGCTGAGGCTGGCACTGCAGTGGTGTGAAAAGGTGGCCTGCACCTCAGGAGCTGGGATCTGCTGAGAGCTCATCTTTCTACTTCACGTCTGACTCTGTGCTTTGTTTCCTACCCTCAGATGCTGTCTTTCATGCAAGCCCAGTACACTTTTTTCCAGCAGGGTTACAGCCTTCTTCATGAACTTGATCCCTACATGAAGAAACTAGCCACTGAGGTGAGGAGGTTGCAGGGGCAGGGATCTTTCATATGTCCCTATTGTCAGCTCAGAAACCCTTTGCCACGAAAGACCTCCTCCTTTAAACCCAGGTGCCAGGTAGCTCCAGGAGAGCAATGCTCAGGAGCCTGTGTTTGCCAGCTATATGGCCACCACAGGGATCCTTCTGCCAAGAGGTCAACCTTAATTAAATCAGACTGGGTATGTCCTGCTCGCTGAACTGGACCATCAGGTCCACAGGCCATCTGGGGCTGGGCAGACCTCCCAGACATAAAAGCATACCTCACCCTGGGGTTTTTTTGCATCATATCTTTCCTGCCTCAAGATAGGATCTGGGATTGGAGACATCCCTGAGTCCTGACTGGAGAAAGGATATTTCCCCCAGACGGCCCATCTCCAATCCTATTCTGAACTCGGCTGATGCTGGGACAGGACTGCCGGGGTTGAGAAGGCTGTGGGGTGGTGCAGATGTGATCGATAAAGTTTGCTCCCAGCTCTGTGCCTCAGTATCAAGTCTCAGTGCTTTAGGTTAAGGAGCTCCCATTAATCAGGGAGATGACAGAGCATTACACTGAATCCCTCGCTGTCGGATGAGCCAGGGTGGTGAGCTAAGTGCTGCGCCAGCCCTCAGTGCCCACCTGAATGCAGCTTCACTTCGCTCCATTGCTTCCGGCGACTAAGGTGATTGGGTGGGCGGGTGTCTTCCCAAGGGAGGAGAAGCAGCAGCGATGGCCGCTGGCGCCCTAGCGGGAACGATCGGCTGAATTTTCCATCTGGTTTTCTCCTCCTTTCTTTCAGCTGGACCAGCTGGTGATTGACTCTGCTGTGGAGAAGAGGGAGATGGAGCACAAGCATGCACTGATACAGCAGAGGGTGAGTCCTGGGCTGCAAGCTGGCATGAGGGGACCCAGGAGAGGACACAGCTTCCTATCAGACAGGGAGAAGTGAGAGGTCGCAGCACCTCGGGAGGCCTGGCCGAGGCAGTCCTAACCAGCCCGGGAGTGCAGGGAGGGCAGCAGCTGCTGCAAAGAGGGGTTAGCGATGTGAGGGTAGTGCCCCCGCGGGTGCGGAGATATGTCAGCATGGTTCAGCACCACGTGGTCGGGCGTGAGACCCTGCTGCAGCTATGTTGCAAAGCTCAGTTTGGAATGGGGGTGCAGTGAGTGGCGGGGAGGTAGGTCGTAGCAAGTGAATATGGGGCGTTCACAGCCAAGACTATCCTAGTTTGCAGACTGGGAACATGACCTGGGATTTTGAGCAGAAAGGAATCAGGACTCTTTTCCCAGCTCTGTGACTGACCCATTTTAACCCTCTACCTGCCTCAGTTTCCCCTACCCTGGAATGCTTCTTCCTCTCACTGGTGCCCATGTCTGGGAGACACACTGAGGTCTCTGAGCACATGGGGCTGTTCCCAGTGCATGTTATCGCCATTCATTCCTGCATTAAAACAGTCTCAACAAGCAGGCCAAGACCGTGCCATGAAACTGCCTTTGGGCTTGGAGAGCAGTTGCAGCTGGAGTCTCTCCCCCTCCTGCTCTTGTCTCACATTGTCTCCTTGCCCTTCTCTGCCTGCCCTTGGGTGAGTCGGAGTGAACTGGGAGGAGTGTCTGGTGAGGCCTGCAATCTGCAGCTGCTGCAGAGGCGGCCCAGCCCTCCTGACGCTTCCCTCTCTGCTCGCACATCTGTCCAGCCGGCTTCCTTCTTCCCCCCTGCCGCCTTTCCCCTCCGCCTTTCTCCACCAGGCAGCTCGCCTCACTGCCCAGCTCCACCAGATGGTCAGCGCCCCCTTTTAAATCAGCTAGCTGACAAATGCATGCATGGAGCCATTTGTTCCCTGAGGGCTGAGCCGACTTCAGGGCCCTTTCTTCATTCACATGGAGATCACAGTTAGCTTAATGGGCTGTGAGAAGGGGAGGCAGGCTGTACTGCCACATCTCACTTCCCTCCCGTAGGAGGGATTCCCAGCTTCCAGGGAGCTTTCTTGCTTGCTAATCAGATTTCTCTACACCCTGCCCAATGGGGCAGAGCACAGCTATTTAAGCCATGTCCTCCAGACAGATGCAGGGATTTGAGGCACCAAGCTGACTTTCACAATACGATTGCATGAGGGGTGGGGAGAGGGAGAAAGAGGAGTACATGTGGCAGTGGGTGGATGGACGTTTTGTTTGAAGTGAACCCCTTCAGCAGAGGATCCATCAGAAACTGGCATTCACTGTAAAAACTTCCTGCCTCTCCCTTTACTCTCTACCTTTGTCCAGCACCTCCCATCTGCAGATTTCAGAGTCCTTCCCAGACATGGATTGCTAAGGCTGACAAAGTCTCTGTGAGCTGCCAGTCAACACGTTGTGACCCTAGAGATGCAGAAGTCTAAGTGACTAGTGCAGGGTCATGCACCGAGTCAGTGATGGGGAGGTCTGAATTCAAATGTGGCTGGACACCTGGGGGAAGCATCCTTCTTATGGCAAGGTCCTTCCCTGACTGGCCAGGACCTCAGAGGTCCATCTGATCTGAAAGACACCCCTTTCCAGCAGCTTCCAGTGTCTGCACAGATGTACTTTTTCCCCATAGCAAGCCAAAGGAAAAACAACCTATTTCCAACAGTATATGCACGGTTCCCCTGAGATTCCTGCTAGAGTGGTAGTTTGCTATTGATTAAGAGGGAAGAATTCCCTCCCGGGACTTAACGAGCTCATTCTTTCCATTTTCCTTGGAAATCTCCTTTCTGAGGGACAACTAGGATTATCCCTGTGACATGGCCAGAGCCCTGAGTGGCATGGCTTCAGAGGTAATTTCCCCCTGTGTGTTACCTGGATCAAAAGTAGCTAGCAGAACAGGGAATAATATGTAACAGGGAGAACATGGAGGTTGGACCCATCCAGGTCATTATGTCTCCAAGGAGGAAGGGGGTGGAGGAGGTCCTTGGAGCAACATTTCTAACACAAATCTGCTGTTTCCCTTGGAAGAGGTGTAGCCAGGAGATTGCAGAGTTGTGGGGAGCCAGCAGGGTCTGCTTCTCTCTCACTCCCTGGGGCCCATGCAGATTGCTTCCTTTGCACTTCCCAGAGGTGTCTGAATGAAGATGCCCGGCTAAAACTGAGACAAAACTTGACATTGATTTTCTCCACGTGCGGGAGGAAGAGGGTCATAGGCCTTTGGCAGGCAGGGAAAGGAGAGTGCAGGACGTATCTCCTGCAGAGGGGCCTCTTGAGGGACGTGTGACGATGGAATCCTGTCTTTTACTGCCCGAGCAAAGTCTGGGCTCTGTGCTTCTTGTAGTCCCAGAGCAGGCTGAACTGGAAAGACTTAACATGAACCAGGCATTTGAAGTGATACAGTGCCAAAGTCTGCTTGATTTTATGGGTGTCTGAACGGCCCCATGGAAATCAGTGCATATGGCACATGTACCCCAGGGCGGTTGGAATCCCACTGGGCCATCTTCCATTCCCATTTATATCAAAGTAATCCAGAGAAACTCATCTGCAGCCAGAGGAACATGGGACACAAGGCTGAAAGGCACCTTTAAGTTGTCAGATTCAGCCCACAGCTGTTGCATCAGGGTTGTAGGCAACCATGTCATGTTTAGTGCCCATTAGCTTTGATACAGCCCAGGCTGTTCCAGCTGGAAGAACTCCTGATTCGTGGCCTGCCAGCTATTGGTTCCAGTCTTACACCAGGATTTTGGATAACTCATTCTCAACTAATTGTAGGGACAAAGGATCCCATAAGAAGGGATAAACCAGTCTGCCTCAGCCTCCATTTTCTTCTAGCAAAGGTTTCCTGTGGCCTTTTGCAGAGTATATAACATCTCCTGCCTTTGCAGCTAGTTCATTGCTCTGCAATGCTAGGGAAAACCAAATCAGAAGCTGTTGCTTCATACTACTGCTGGAGCTTCAGGACTGATCTCCAAAAGCAGCTTCAGCCCTGCCTTTTGGATTTGCATTCACATATTCCTGGTCAGGTCCAAAATCAAATTTCCAAAATCAAATAGACCTGTCTGAGGCCTTCATGAGACACAGTTTTGGGGAAAATATGGCCCTTAAATCCTTTTACTCCTGAATGATGTCAAATGTGAACTGGGCAGAACTGTTAAGTAATGTGTTTTCTCTCTTCTTTTCTCTCTTCATCACCAATTATGGATGTGTCTCCTCCAGACTCTCCTGCAGGTAAGTACACATACGCTGTACTGTGGTGTCTTAAAGAGCTTGCTTGTTTCCTGTCATGAGCTGTAGAAATAGTTGCATAGAGTCACATCTGTCTCCTGCTTTTGGAAAGATGCTGGCAATTGGATTTGATCATGGCCCTGCCCATCAAGTGCACCAGCTCGTCACTTCTGGACACTTCATTTCCAAGCACAATTGCAGTTGAATTCAGTAGTTTCACCCTAATCCCTAGTGGACTTTCATTCTCTAAATAAAACATCCACGTGGGTTTATCTCTATTCCAACTTTTGAGTCATTTTGACTCAAAAGAGTCGGCATGCTGGCATAGCAGGGGAGCCCTGAGCAGGACTGAATTGAAGCTATGTACACTAGGCATCTATCTACATCTCTAATAGCTTTAAAAGTTTAAATGTGCCTGACCAAAGCGAGGCGTGCTGCGATTGAGGAATGAGGTGCATTGGGAGAGTTATAGGCCTGGAAGCTTTCCTGGCTGAGGTGCCCTGAGAGGAACTTAGGACTGCAATGATGAATGATGTGGCTAGTCAGGACTGCAGTACAGGGTATAGAAGTATGGGCAAGGTTTGCATGGTACATACCCGTGCTCTTCCTGGGTCTCACCAGGCCTGCTCTATCTAGCACTTCCCATGGGCACGAGAATTTTAGGAGTGGGGAATACAGGACCACAGTTGATGTGTTTTTCCCTGATAATGAAGGTCTTGCCTACAAAGCGGAGTAAGCTTCTTTCTACAGAGGTGGGTGCAGGAAGTGTGTCCACAAAAGGAGATAGTGCAGAGCAACTTGCTTCTCCTGATCTTCCCTCTCCAGAGGGATCTCAGGGCTCAGGACCATGGACACCTCCTCCTGCTCTTTTCACCTATGCCCACCAAGCCTCGGCTCTCCCGGTGACAGCGGAGGTAGCTGAAAGGCAGCAGTGTGTCTGTCTGCTTCTTCCTTCTGAGTGGAAGAGTGTCCTCAGTCATGAAAATCAATAATTAACCAGTCTAGGGCTCGCCCTGCTCTGCATCAGCTGGAATGAGGAAGCATATCTTTCCCCATCCTCCTGCTCCACCAATCTCTCTGCTATAGCATGCGCTTCCGCCTCCATCACCTTGTTGGCTCAATGCATTTTCTTTCCCAAAAGAAACCTTGCAAACTTCTCAAAAGGACAGGGTGGACGAAGCAGCTGGTGGGCCTCCTGTCTGTGCTCGTGGAGCTCGGCAACCCTTAGGTACTGCTGCTTGTTGCCCAGCAGGGTGTTTCAGGGAAGACTGATGGGCTTGGGCCCCAGGTATACCAGTGTGCCAGGGATATGGGGTGCAGTGCATGGGGAAACCTCAGTTTGCTAGCCAGGAAAGGCATCAGTCTACAGGCCCTATATCTGAGTCAAAATCCAGACTTAAGTTCAACAAGGAGAATCCTTTCTGTGTTGTATATGCCTGACAAAGGGTGTGCACCACACTGTGGGGGCTTGGTGCTGGAAGAGAAGTGAGCTTGGCCACAAGGCCCTTTCCTGTTCGTGAGACATAGCACCTGCCATCATGGCCAGTGCCTGCATTTTGGCTGCCCTTGTACCCCCTCCTGGCACCGACATTGCAGAGAGCAGGCCCTGCACAAGACTAGCCATTGCTTATGGCAGCTCATCCTATCCCCTCAGTACAGGCAGATGAGCCAGTGAGGCTTTTTTCTTCTGGTGCACTCTGGTCCTCTTCCACAGGGGAAGACAACAGTGAGGCCAGGGAATTAAAGACCCTTTTCTGATGAGATTAAGGAAATGCCTTCAAAGTGAGATAATCTGCAGCCGAACTGAGTAGCAAAATGACAGTGAAAAAGTCTGATGGCTCCTTTTAATCCATTGTGCAGCAGAGAAATTGGGCAGGATTTAACTTGGCAGCTTGCTGGCAGATGGTATTTGAGGGCTAGTCATTCTCTCCAGGGCTGGAGCTACAGCTACAGACCACTCTGAGTCCTGTGGCATTAGCAGGAATTGCCAAATGGAAAGCAGGACAACAGGTAACACACCAGGGGGGAAATCTGGTGATTAGAAGGATCCAAACTAGACCCCTTAGATCCTGGTTTTCCCTCCATATAGTTGGCCAAACTAAATTCCCAGATCCAAATGTGTTTTGTCCTCTAAGAAGGCTTGCGTGTGGTACTAAAATGGGTAGTTTCATCCTACCTCTGGTTTCCTCCTGCAGTTGGGGAAAGCCCAGATTGCTCACTTTGGAAATCAAACTACTGGAGGTGTGAACCTCAGCCCCTCACCCCAGTCCAAGTGAGAGAAGTTTGCACGGACAAACTTTGCTTAGTATCATCTTTATGGGTTGAGAAATCAAATTAGCTGCCTTTTAGCTGTGATGGGTCCAGCCCAGAGCTCCAGTCCCTAAACTCTACCAGCAGCAGCAGGATTCAAAACGTGAATTTAGAAGCAGGTCCCTATTTTGCTTCCTTCTGAAGGTCCAGACTCATAGTCAGATGCAGTCCTGAGCACTGGAAACCCTGGCTTGATTTCCGTAGCATGAGTCCATTCCTGGTTTTGTTTGAAAGCAACACGAGAGACGCGCTGGAAATATTCGTGCCATCTGGGCCCCTTTTCTGAATCCCTGACAAGCTGTGCTGAACCATTCAGAGTCAAACCTAGAAACCCCATTGTACCTGCCAGAACTTCCCTGTGGGCTGTAGGTGATGCTTCGGAGCTGCAGGAAACAGGAACGGATTCAAGAAATGTAGACAGCGGAGAAGCAGCAGCTGTGCAGGGCGTGGAGTTCATCGATCATTGCACGTCCATCCAGGCAGTTGTGCAGACTGGCGCTCCTCGGCAGGAACAAAACGTGGAGTGCTTTCTTGGCTTTCTTTTTGTAATGCTCTCTCTGGAGAACATCATGCCCCAGGAGCTGAAAGTGTAACAGAATTCGAAGGCTACTGACAAGTGTTTCCTGAGTATCGGTCTGTGCACATGCTCCTTTTGCCTAATTGCCCTATGGGAGGTAGGGGGGAGTGGAGAAAGGGAGGGGGGATTCATTTGTGAACCTTCTGTTCCCAGGGGCATTACACAGGAGTGATGACTTCATCCAGTAGAGCAGGGAGGGTCTCTCTAATGCAATGCATTTAAAATAAAGCACTTCGCACACAACTTCTCTGCTAGGGAAGTGCTGTGGGGTTACTAGGGGTCAGGCTTACAGGTGGGGAGGAGGCAGTTATTCAACACCAGATCTCAATACACAGAATCATAGAAAATGAAGGTTGGAAGGGACCTCAGGAGGTCACATCTAGTCCAACCCCCAGCTCAAAGCAGGACCAGCCCCAACTAGATCATCCCAGCCAAGGCTTTGTCTAGCTGTGTCTTAAAAACCTCCAAGGATGGAGACTCCACAACCTCTCTGGGTAACCTGGTCCAGTGCTTCACTACTCTCCTAGTAAAGAGTTTTTTTCTAATTTCTAACCTAAACCTCTCTTGCTGCAACTTGAGCCCATTGCTCCTTGTTCTGTCATCTGTCCTCACTGAGAATAGCCCAGCTCCATCTTTTGAACCCCCCTGCAGGGAGCTGAAGGCTGCTATTAAATCCCCTCTCAATCTTCTCTTCTCCAGACTAAATAAGCCCAGCCTCTCCTCACAAGTCATGTCCCCCAGCCCCACAACCATTTTTGTTGCCCTTCACTGGACTCTCTCCAATTTGTCCACATCCTTTCTGTAGCGGAGGGGGAAATGACACAGAATTGCCCACTGCCTTAGCTTCTTATGCAGGTCGCCTTGTGATAAACAGTGGAACACCTATACTGGAGCTGAGGATGGGTCATTCTCCCCATCCTGCACTGTTATAGGGAGCCACACAATGTTACCTCCATGCTGAGCTAGAGAGAAACCCTGGATCTGGCAGCCCCAGCCCAGTGCTCACTCTGGGCAGACATGAGTTCCATTTTGAAGGCCACTGGTACCAGTAAGCTGGTGCCTGTGTATGCTTTGTGTGAAGCGACCAGCCTGTCTTCCTGGGCATCCGGGAAGTGCTGATAGCAGGTTGTGCTGAGAGTATTGTGGCTGTATTGGATGTAGATTTAAGTGAGGTAGGGAATAGGATATGGCCTACAGTGCATTAGATGCTTTATGATTTTGGTGCAGGAAACAGTCCAAGAATAGACCTTGGGCCTGGGTGTCGAGAGAGGGGTTTGTTCTGAGCTGTCACTGATTGCCATCCCCTGCTCTAACCAGCTCTGTTCCTCAGTTTCCCTACTTGTAAAGCAGAAAAGGTGATGCTTATCCACTTTTGTGCAAAGCTCTGATATCTGCAGATGAAGTGCAGTTAGAGGAGGCGGCTACTCCTGCATGTCTTTGCATATGCCGTGCTTAGGCTTGGATGCAAGAGAAAAATAGGATGGCATCATACCATAAGAGCCTCCAAACACTGCAGCAATGCTGTTGGACACTGAGCTACAGCCAGCTGTGGAGCCTGTCTGATTTATTCCCCACCCTTCTGCAAAGCTTTGGGCACCCATGATTGCACTTCACACTGGAAAGATAAGCAGCAATATCATTTATCCCCCTCCTGGTACCTTCCCCAGCAATATAGTGCGAGGTGGGCTGTGGCAGGAGGAGAGGGAATCCAATCTTGAAATAATATGCTATGGGCCTCCCCTGGGGGTGGCTTTCATGATGGTGCTGCACTTATTGAATTACCCTTGGACAGCTTGGTGAGGCATAGAAAGTGGCCCATTAAGTACCCCATTTGCTTGCAGGAGCTGCTGTTTCAATTTAGGGTTCCCCCCACCCTCAAAAACATAGAAAACAGAAAAAACATTCTCACGGGCGGGGGGAGAAATCGGGCATGAACCCCAGTTGTTTTTCTTTTTGTTGTTATTCCAGTGCCTTTTCCCCATCCCTCTTCCCCTCCTCTCTCCAGGGGCATCTGTCACCTTTTGTGAGGAGTCCCAGGGTGGCTATCATTTCAAGCTGCCTTTGTTATTGTAACCATTGCCCTCCCTGCTACCCACCCCACCTCTCTGACAAGCTC